TATCACAGGTCCTGGGATTTCCACCTGGCCCCCATCCTTCCCTGCCCCTCTGTCTGTGTTAATCTCTAGCTGAGATGCCAGGACCGTTTAAAAAGCTGCAGGCTGAGCAGCAGAGAGCTGCGGCTGCTGCTCGGAGCCAGGCTGCGGCTGCTGCTTCATTATTTACAGCTGCCTTTGGCTGTTCACTGTCTTCTCCAGCAGCTCAGCTCTGGCTGTGCTGGGGGACGCTGCTCGCCGTCTGCTTGTTCCTGCGCTGAAAGCCCAGGAGTATTTTTGCCCTCAAACAGTTGCCATCTGGCACCCGACCTCTGTACCAGCAGTGTACCTGGTGTACCTGCCAGCTCAGGACAGACCCAGTGCCAATGGTGAAGCTAACCCTCGCTAACCCTTTTGAAGAGCTCTACTGATTTTAAATTGCTTCCTAATATTGACAGCATCCGAGCTGGAGCACAGGGGGTAAAGTCCTGTGTCATGTGGCAGAGCCGTATGCAGGCTGCAGTTCTCTAGGCTGGGTCCATGAAGGACTTCAGCCGTGAAGGCCTGGGTCATGCTGCTGCCTTTAACGTTGGTCTCAGCCAGGCTGGCACCCCTCGGTCCAGCCCTCCTCGCTTCAGCCAGCCATTAACTGCTGCCAAAGCAAGGGCAGCCATTACCAGGCCATCAAATGCTGCCTCTGTGTGCATTGCATGTCTGAGCAGCTTCGTGGTGGTCTGGAAATACATCTTCTGTTTGCCCTTGCTGGGGACATCTGACATGTTAACGTGGTCCTAATGGCATCTTCCAAGGTGACCTGATGCTTGCTGGGCACAGATGTGCAGATCTGACAGAGCAGAGATGCATGTCGCAGTGGATCCTGTGCCAGCCAGCTCTGCCCCCTTGGCTTTTGTCCCCACCGTTGGTCCCCCCATGCCCTGGCAGCCCTGCAGGCTCCGTCTGAGATGGAGACCAGTGTGCAAGGCTGGAGCTGCCATATGCTTGCCATAAAAACACTTCTTGGCCCATTCCCCGGCATTTCCTGCCACTGCCACACATGCTCAGGATCCCACATGCCTCGCAAGCCGTTCACCAACTGCAGCCCAGCAGATGGAGGAGCTGGGCACAGCTTTGCAGCAGGAGAGACAGGAATCCACAGGCTCTGTTTGTTCTTGGGGTGTTGATGGCAGCAGAGGAAGGGGGAGGAGAGCTGGCACCCACCCCTGCAGCACCATCTGTGCAAAGTGCCCCTCCACAAAGGGCTCAAGACCTTTCTGTACCCACTCATCATCCTGGGAGTCAGCCATAAGTTAAAGGTGGTTGGAAATGGTGCGAGTGTCCTGGGTAGATGGAGACCATCGCTCCACCCAGGCAAGTGGTACTGGCTTGTTCTGGTGGCGTTTCCCGCTAGCAGAGATGGTCAGTCAGGACTAAAAGCAAAGGGAGAAAAGCAGTCCTCAGAGGCAGCAGAGATTTATTGCAGTAGGAAATGAAAAATGTATGCATCAGCTTTTGGAGTAACTGTTGCTCTGCCTTTACCTGTCTGTGGGGGAATAAGGGCTCTGGATTCAGCCCTGCTCTGTAGCACGGAGGTCTGAAGGTGCTCAGGAAGCTGAAGGCACATCCTTTGTTGGCATATCGTGGTGGGGAGTGACTGGACGGAGCTGATGTCTCTCTTACCTTGGGCGGCAGAGCATGACTGGATCAGTGTCTGAGCTCTGAGTGCAAAAGATAAGTGCCTAAGCCCCAGGAGAGGGGATATCTTCATGCCATGTTGGTCAAGACACTGTGAAGAGCCAGCTGAGGAGCAGATGTCCTCCCATAAGGGCACATCCATGGTGGGCTCCTACTGCTGATGGGCACAGGGGGGTTTCTACTGGTGAGTCCTTCCGCCTTGTGCTGAGCCATTTTCCAGTGACCTTGTGTCTCAGTGGCATTGCGCCATGGTGGTCCCCGGGGACATGAGGGGACACGGTGCAGCCTCTCAGGCTGCGGGCAGGCAGCAGGCAGACAGAGATGTAGGCAAGGTGGGGACACAGACATGAACGGCCATTTGCTCCCTGCAGTGGGATGGGGTCAGCGCTGGTATGTGCCCACTGAGCGGGGTAGAGGGTGTTTTCCAAGCAGTGTGGCCCAGATCACCAGCCGCTGAGCCCAGGATGGGTCTGGTTTTGGGGGCTGCTGATGGGGCAGAGCTGCTGAGCTCCAGGGGTTGTTTTATAGCCCCAGTTCCGTGCTGCAAGAGCAAGGCTGAGAGATTTGCAGCCCAGTGCACTTCTATGCTTGGGAATTAGAAGAAGAAACACAAAAAAGAGGCTTCAGGGAAACAATGGCTCCTGTGGTCCTGGGGTGCAGCCAAGCTGTAATTACCAGTGTTAGGGAGAGTGTTACCTGCTGCTTCTGCTGGTTTTCTCCAACCTCTAGCTCTGATCCAGAGCAAGCACATGTTGTGCCCCAAGCCCAGCATGCAGCCCAGAGAAGCTGCTGAGCACATTACTGCTTCTCCGGGAGTGGATAAGTCCTGCTTACAAGGACACTGCTCCTCTTTTATTTAATTTCCCGGTAATGCTTCTGCAGCGTCAAAGTCTTATCAGGAGAGGAGCAGCTTAAGAGCCTGGTAAAGGAGTTTTATTGTCAGTATCCAGCTCTTTATTCCCCTCTTCCCTTTAATGCTGGACGGCAGGCTGGTTGTGGCTGGAATGAGGTGTGCTTTCTTTTCCTTTTGTCCATTTAAGCTGCTAAACTTTTCTGATGGTAACTCAGGTGCATGAGGGGCTGCTGTTCCTGGGCAGTCATCGGAGGGTCATGGGTTGGTTGCAGGCTCCATGAGGAGGAGCGGGGTTGACACCCACTTCCAAATTGCGCACAAAAGGACAGATATGGGGACACAACAGCTTTAACTGGGCAGCTGTAGTCCAGGACTTGTCATCCACTTGGCGAGCAAACCCCTGCCTCAGTTCCCCAGAGCAATCGCACTCAGCTCAGCCACATCTCTGAGGCATCCCAGTGCTTTGAGCCCCGCAGTTCATTCTCACATTCATGCACTGTGGGGGCTTGTTGGATGGGGGGGCTGGAGTTGCTGTGGGCAGTTTGGGGGGAATGAAACAGGGGGGTCTCCCCTGGGAAGCCAGCAGCTTGGTGGCTCTGCTGTCTCTTGGCACTCAGCTCCATCTCTGCAAACAGCTGGCATTCTCCCCAGCCATGCCAGGCATGCAGAAACGCAGCGCTATGTTCAGTCCCCTTTTCAGCCGCAGACAATGGCTTTGGATAACATTCATTTGAGAAAATTGGTTGAATCATGTGATTTTTTTTATTGTTGTTGCTGTTGTTCTTTTAAATGATCATGGGAGTAGCAGAGCAGGTAATGAGACGGTGTGTAGCCAGTCACAGGGGAGATGGTCTCACCTGCGCTTTCCCACAGCTGCACTCTCCTGGCAATGCAGCTGGCCCTGCACCCCGCGCCTGTGGGTGCTGCACCCCCGCTGGGACTGCTGGTGGGTGCAGGACTCCCCATGGCCCTGGGAGATGCCCGCACCCTCCTCAGCAGTTCCCTTCCCTGGGTCTCACTGTTTTGCTTCTCCAGCCATGTGCTGCTGCATGAGGGAGGGGAAAGCCACGCGTACCGGTCTGGCTAGGCACCGGGGATGGGTCAGGGTGGACCCAGCAGCGGTGGAATCCCATCACCACAGAGCACAGCTCATCCACAGCTAGTGATGTATCCCTGACACTGGGTGGAGGCGCCTGGTGCTCAGAGCTCTCCTGGCTCCCATGGGAGACAAGGCAGCAGGGACAGGGACAGACCCTGCTCCCATAAAGGATGTCGGGACAGGTCACCTGGGGATGAGGGCCGGCACAGGGCTGTCTTTCCTGGCAGCAGTGCGCTCAAGCCCGAAGCTGTGCGTGTGCTGGCATGGAGCTGCAAGAAGGTCCCGTCCTCTTTTGGCCCTGTGTGCCATCCCCTCTTCACTCTGCAGCATGTGCCAACATGCGGTGCTAGGAGCGGGCTGGGGGGTGTTGGAAATGCAGACAGATTGCATTAGATGGATGATGCGTCAAATCCTAAACTGGTAAGAGTCAGAACAATTGATGTGTTGCCAAAAGGCCGGGAAAGATCTTTTTTAATAGTCTGGACAGGAACAAGCAATGAGCAGCACAGAAACAATGGCATGTTCATCACTTTGTTTTTCTGGTTGCGGCCGTGCACGTTGCCATCTGTCTGTGCTGCGCTCTGCTGCCATCCCAATGGTGCTGGGATTGCTCCCTAATAGCAGGCTCACAGCCCTGCCAAGCAGCCTGGAGCCACGGCTGGCATTGCTCTGGGATTCCAAGGGCAGGTTTGGCATGACCTTGTCCTGGGCTGGGTCTTCCTGTCTTCTGGCTGTCAGTGCTTTGAGGAGTCCTGGGGCTGGCCATTGAGACTCAGTCATAGGGCCAGCAGCCATGGCTGAGCCTGCCTTAATCCCAGTTTTTAGACTGGCTGAACTTGTTTCCACTTATCTCTGATATTGTGCAGCCCTGTTACACAGCATGAAAAAGCCAAGCATGAGTTTGCTCTTAAACCTCCGCAGAATGGGCAGAGAGACAGCACTCCAGCCATGCCAGGGCTGCTGTCTCTGAACCTCGTGGCGGTGGCATCCCTCAGGTAATGGCCAGAGTCACACCACCAGGAGTTTATCCCACACGTGTCTTCCACCTAATGAAGTGAGATGCTGGGACAGGGTTGGGACAGTGAGATGCTGGGAGAGGATGACATGATTTACCCTTGGTGGGTATCTCCATGAATGTCCCCTGCCTCGGCTGCTGGTGCTGTGGCAAAGACAGGCACTGAGCAGCACCACTCTGCAAAGGAGGATGGGGGGCTGCGGATGTCCCAGCAAGCTGCTGGGACCTGCTGTGCTGGCAGCGATGCAGGAGGCAGGTGGAGTGGGGCTGCCCTCCAGGTTGCAGAGGGCTTGGGGTGAGCAGGGAGGGCTGCCATGATAGGGTGCATGACAGCCTGCCCCTCCACTCTGCAGTGCAGCCATGTGATGCCGGAGGAGCGTGGTGGCGATGATATGGAATGTGGGCAGCTGCCTTCGGACACTCTCAGACAGGTGACGGTCCAGCGCCACCCCCACTACGGATTCGGCTTCGTGGCCGGCAGCGAGAGGCCGGTGGTGGTGCGCTCCGTGGCAGCAGGTAAGGTGTGTGGTGGGGGGAATCCCTGGACACGGCCACAGGGTGCCAGGAAGCACAGCGGCACCTTCCCCTGGTGGGACCCCTCCCTGGGCTCCTGTCCTCTCCTTTAGCCTCCTGTGGACCTGTGAGTTGCCCTTCACATCCACATACATGGGCAAACGCTTTGGGGGTGCTTGGGACCCTCCTGCTTCCCTCCTGCCCCACAGCCCCAGGATGCCTGGGCTTGCCCTGACCCTCTCTCCTGGCAGGCGGCCCCTCTGAGGATAAACTCCTGCCAGGAGACCAGATCTTGGCCATCAACAATGAGGATGTGAGTGAAGCCCCCAGAGAGAGATTCATCGAGCTTGTCAGGTGAGGACAACACTGGTCCTTCATCACCTCCGGGGTGGGGGCTCATGCCAGGCTGCTGTGCCCCGACCGGAGCCTTGGGGTGTTGATGCACAGCCCCAGGCTCTGCTGTCACCAGTGCTCACTGCTGGCATGGGGAAGCCTCAACTTGAGCATTGGGAGTGCCTTGGAGCAAGTGCCATACCTGTTCCCAGCTGGCCAAGGGGTTGGCAGTTCTGGGAGAGCACCCACAGACGTATCACCAAGCACCCCAAGGAGCTTACGAAGGTCCTGGCCACCAGTGGGCTGGGGAGGGTGGGATGTGCTCTCTTGATAGCCAAATGGACATGCTGAGGTCCACCACCATGGAGGTCCCATCCACCTTCACATCTCCTTTCTGTCACAGGAAGGCCAAGGACTTCATCATCCTCACGGTCCTGCACACCCACCAGGTGAGATCGACAGGGCCATGGCCAGCACTGGGGGAGGCAGGACAGGGGTTAAGAGCCCTTTGGGAGACTGAGGTGGGGCCCCTAGAGACCCCAGGGGACCACTCAGGCAGCTCAACTGAGGTGTTGGACTGGTGTCCCACCACCCCAAGGCTCTTCCAAGCAGTTGGGTCTGAGAGCTGCCACAGCCTCACAGGGTCAGTGTAGGCATGCAGCCATCTCCCTCTCCTCATAACTACCTCCTTGTAGGAGGGAGGGAGGAAGAATATCCCCAGACCCATACGGTTTGCTAAGGGCATCAGACGCGTCTGATGAAGTGACCCATCATGCCAGAGGTGGAAGGGAGGGATGCGCCGTTGCCATTCCTGGCAGGCTCGGTCAGGGAGTCGTTGGGTAGATGGGAGTGCAAGACTGCGGGCCCCGAGCCGCGTGGCTGGCGGTGGTGCTGGCACCGGGTGGTGATGGTGCACTGGGGCTCAGCACCTGTGGCGCTGGAGCAGATCGAACTGTCATGCCGGCAATGGTGGTGGCAGGGCATCATTTCTGCTTTACTAAGCCCTTTGATGTCGGTGAAGGAGATAAGTGTGAGAGCGTCCCTGTGCTCCCCTCCTCTCTGGGAAGGAGATGCCACCACCCAGTGCTGCTCTGTCAGGAGTGGGGCATGTACCAGGCTCCAAAAAAGCTTTTTTTCTCCTGGTCCTGGATGGCCGCCAGCCAGGACAGGCTGCTCGGCTGACGCCGGTGCCCTCAGATGCACACAGCTCTGCAGCACAACTGCCTCCATGCCAGAGTGTGTGCAGGCAGAGGCTCCCCAGCACCTGGCACTGCCACCAGAATGTCCCGCAGGGCTGCCTGGGGTCCTGTCATCTCCCATCTCCCAGCCACCCAGCTCCTCCCTGCAGCTGCAGACCCACATTCGAGGGGCTTGTCTCTCCCATCCGAACCAGTGCCGGTGCCTCCAAGTGAGCCCTGGCTCATGTCTGCTGGAGCTCAGCCTGCACAGGGGATGCCGGACAGATGTGCCCACTGGGGGTGCAGCCTCTCCCATCATGCTGAGGGTGCTGGTGTGACTTCAGGGGCTGCTGCTCCTCGTTCTGGCCCTGCCTGCAGCACTGTATAACCACAGCAAAGGGGACTTGCTTTCCACCACCCCCCATTTCATGGTTCACTGCCTGCTCCTCGTTGTCATGATGGCTTCAGAGAGGATTTCTCTGGTCCCCTTGTCTGGCTCTCCCCGTGCCACGGCTCTGAGGGCAGGCAGGTGATTTACCCAGTGCTCTCTTTCCAGTCTCCCAAATCTGCTTTCATCAGCGCAGCCAAGAAGGCGAAGCTAAGGTCCAACCCGGTGAAGGTCCGATTTTCAGAGCAGGTGACAGTCGGCGAGACAGACCCAGTAAGTCCTTCCCTGCCTTCCTCTGTGATTCAACCCCCTGAGGCATCCCCGGGGCCATGGGGCATGAGGTGGCCAGGGGCCACAGGGCTCCTCTCCCCTGATTTGGGCTCCACGGGTGAGAGCAGCCCTCTGGCCCAGGGAGGCCCACAGGGCAGATGCCCTTGGGCACACTCAAGGCATTTGGTCAGTGCTGGGGGGACATGCCATGGTCCTCCCCTGTCCCTCCATCTGGATAGAGCCCCAGAAACTGTCCTTGGAAACCTGGTCCCACCTCAGTCCCCCTGGGCAGCCAAGGGTGACGTCTGGCCAGTGCCAGCACCTGCCCTAAGGAAGGTCTGTGGCTTCCAACCTGGTGCCAAAGGCTTTGCAGGAGCACCTGTGCATGGGGCAGGGTGACCAGGGCAATGCTGTGTGACAATGGAAGCTGTTATGCTGCAGTAGCGTTCCAGCCCAGTGCCATTATCTCCTAATTGCAGAAAGGCTTTATTAAGCAGCATATTAAAAAAGCCCAAAAACAAAACATAAAAAAAACACTGTAAAGTGCTTCTAGCAAATTTTATTTTTAGGCAAAATCAATTATCTGATCTAAATGCTTCTTGCCAAATAAAATCAGCCTTCACCCAACTTCCTGCACAGGGCATGTGCAAGGTTGAGGTGGGCTAGGCTTGTGTTAAGGGTCAGGAAAGGGGTATCAGCTCTGAGCCACCCTGGCCATCGCCTCTCCTCTGGGACACCAGCTGGGAAGCGGGACAGGCTGCCAGGCACAGGCATGGCTCTGGAATGTGCCGGATGGACTGGGATGCTCCATTCCCGCTGCAGCTACTGGGAGCTGGGAGGGGAATCTGTCAGCTCTGAATCGCTCCAGCTCTGCATTTCTCAATGGCTTAGCAGAGATGCTGGATTTCAAGGGAAATGTGCCTCTTAGCGCATAAGCCCAGAGAAGCGGAGGATGCCGTAACCGTTCCATCACTGACACTCATTCTCTCTCTCCATCCTCCCTCTATCTCTCCATCCCCCCATCCTCCTTGCCTCCTTTGTTGCCGGCCCCACGTGCCAGGACATGTTGAAGAAAGAAGCTCTCCTCCTCATTCCCAATGTGCTGAAGGTTTTCCTGGAGAACGGGCAGATCAAATCCTTCACATTCGATGGCCGAACCACTGTGAAGGTGGGCCCCTCCTCTCCCACTACAGCATCGTGATGCTTTTCTCCTCCTGCCTGCCCTATCCATTTTTCCTTGTCTCCTGCTTCCTTGCACAAACACCGCAGCGGTTCTTGGCTGGCTGCAAACTGCCACTGCATGATAGATAGCCCCTCTGCCTCCCTGGGTGACACGATTTGCAGCTAGCAGGAATGGGTTTCTGCTGTCTTTCTCCCACTCCTAACTTTTGTCCTTGCTGTGAGCCTGCACTCCAAGCAGGATAGAAGCTCCTGTGAGTCCCCCTGCCAGGGGCCAGCTCCTTGCAGCCCCCCTCCAAAACACCACAGTGTTGCCCTAGGTGCTGGGGGTCTGGCTGCTGGTCACCTCCTGCTGCGAGGTCACTTTGCCCAGCAGTGGCTGGGTACTATCCCGCAGCCTCTCTCAGCACTGCAGGGCCTCATCCTGTACTGGTGTGACCCCAGGTGCCAGGGAGGAGGGGGGTCTCAGTGGGATGCTAGCTCCCACCCTAGGAGGGAGCCAGTGCCTCGCACCCAAGCCTGTCTGTGGTGTTTGCAGGATGTGATGGTGACATTGCAGGACCGCCTGTCCCTGAGGCACATCGAGCACTTTGCGCTGGTCCTGGAGTATTCCAGCCCGGAGCAGAGCCACCGGTTTTTGCTGCTCCAGGACAAGCAGCCACTGGCCCACGTAAGCCACTGGGTGCGGGAGGGCATTGGGATGGCCATGGCCGATGGCTGGGGCACAGGCACGCTCTTCTCCCACCAGCGTGGGGCTTCACCAGGGTTGTGCTATGGGGTGGCGTAGCCTCTCCTTGCCTCTGGCATGGTCCTGCAGGCTCAGGGGTGCAAAGGATGGCCAAAGAAGGAGACAATCAGGGTTTTACCCATCCTGCCTTGATAGCACCGTGGAGCTGCTCCGTGCTCCAGCCTGGGTAGCTGCAGACAGCATTCATGAACAACCTTGGCTTGCCCAGCAGAGCCAGGAGTCTGGCACTGCACGGGACCAGGGATAAAATGAGGGTTGTGGAGGAAGCGTTAGCCTTGGTGGCATAAACCCCTGCAGCACCAGGCAAAGCTCTCACACCAAGGAAGGCTGGGCTGTTCCCGAGATCAAAGGATCAGACAGTGCATGGAGAAAAGAAATCAAATCCCCCCACAGGGGAGAGGAGAGGGGCTCTCCTGCCCTGCAGGAAAATATATGCAGCTCCTGGGCTCACTGTTCCCCTCTGCTCCTGCTACAGGTTGTGCAGAGGACACACTACCATGGCATGAGATGCCTCTTTCGTGTGAGCTTCTTCCCAAAGGACCCGGTGGAGCTGCTGCGCCGGGATCCTGCAGCATTCGAGTACCTGTACATCCAGGTAGGGGACTTCCCCTAGGAATTGGAAGCTGATGGTGCTTGTGGCCCATGTGTCTGCCCAGGCTGGGCCCTGTGGAGGCATCCCTCACGTGGCGGGTCCCCTGTCCCCATGGCTGTCTGAGGACACCTCTCCTCCCTCTTGCAGAGCCGCAACGATGTGATCAGAGAGCGCTTTGGCACAGACCCCAAGCCAGAGATGCTGTTGGGGCTGGCTGCCCTCCACATCTACATCACCGTCTCAGCCACCCGCCCCAGCCAGAAGGTCTCCCTCAAGAACGTGGAGTGAGTCCTCCTCCTTCTCCCCACACTGCTGCACAGCCCTCCTCTGTGTCCCCTGCCTGTGTTCCTGCTCACAGCCCCTGTGTAACTGGGGTGCTCCCAGCAATGTTTTGGGGTGCTGAGCATGAGATGCCCTGGGAGCCCCCCTGGAGCTGCTGCTGGCTCACTGGCTTGGCAGCAGTGACACGCAGCCCCTGGTCCCACCACACGTAAGACCCCCGCACGCTGACGTCCAGCCACACACGGCAGCCTTGCCAGGGCTGGCAGGGATATTTGCTGTGAGCCCAAGATCATTTCCATGGGAACCTGGGCTGATTCTCCACATGGCATCCAAGGCAAGGAGAAGGCACTGTGGCTGTGTAATCTCAGCCCGTCACCAAGCTGTACAGCCCTGGCTCAGCCCTCCTGTGGCTCCTGGTGGTCTTAAATCCATACAGAGTCGATCTGTGCGGGCTGGCCTTGCCCAGTGTGCACAGGGAGGAAGGGGGGAGATGGCACCTTTTGGGGAGGACCCCAAAAGAGGTTTGGGGATTTGCCCTGCATCCCTTAACCTTACATGAAGATGAGTGGGAGCTGGACTTGGCTGCAGAGCCTGACACTGCTGCATTCCCCAGCCCAGTGCTGGTGGCTGTGACACCAGCTGGGGGTCCCATCCCCTGGGGTACCCAGGCTGGGGGCTGCTGCTGCTCCAGCTGTGGCACCAAGGAAGTGCTGGTGTGGCTCCAGCTCCCTCTGATGGCAAGAGGATGCTCTCGGGCAGCATCCTTGGTTTCTGGCCCTCTCTGCCCATCGAAAGGCCTCTGGCCTGGCTGCTCAGGCAGACTTCCCTCCCCGCAGGAAGGAGTGGGGCCTGGAGCCCTTCCTGCCCCCCTCGCTCCTGCAGCTCGTCAAAGAGAAGAGCCTTCGGAAATCCCTCTCGCAGCATCTCAAAGTCCACCAGAACCAGCCTGGCGGCACCAAGGTGAGCCCGACCAGCGCGGCTATGGCTCAGGGCTGGTGGGGTTGCAGCACGCCCTCCACCCCAGCCATCCTGTTGTCCCCAGCTGGCCAGGGACTCCTGTTATTGCTGCTTAAATCCCCTTGCATGGGAGATAAATCCCGGGGTGACAGCCAGGCAGCCACTCTCTCTCCTGAATCCACTTCCAAGAGCTGATCTGGATTTTGGGAACTGCAGTGTGGATCAGTGGGGTGAGATCAGCCGAGAGCCAGCGCTCAGCTTGGCCAAAGCTGCACACATCAGTTAAGCCTGTGTTTATTGTTATCTCTGCTTCTGGGCTTGGAAAGATCTGGAGGAGGCTGCTGAGCCACTGCCTTGGTCTCTGCAGCCGTCAGAGCTCCCCGGCGGGGTTATATATCCCCCAGGAGGGTTATACATGTCTGGGGGGATTATACATCCCCCAGGGGGGTTATACATCAAGCGTCTGGCCCCCTCCCTGGCTGTGCCTCTGCTCTGAGTTACCTCCCAGCATCTGCCCAGGACAGCAGGGGAGAGGGGACCCCCTCCACCCCAAGTCAAGCCCCCAGGCTCACTGCTGGCAAAGCCCATGCCCTGAGCTGCCTGCCAACATGCTGCGCACGTGTGCTTGGGAGCTCCCACGTTTGCGCCAGCCTTTTGCATTTCTTCCCCCTTGTGCTCATGGTGATCACCTGTGTGGTGTGTTTTATCAGGTCTCCACGGCCCAGGCAAAGCTGCAGTACCTGAGGATCCTGAACGAGCTGCCCACCTTTGCTGGGGTCCTCTTCAACACAGTGGGACTGGTACGGTAATTCAGGATGGGCGGGGAGGTGCTTGGCACTGATCCTGAGTGTGTGCTGGAGGGGAGAGCCAGGGGAGATGTGGCTCCCACGGAAATTACTTCCCTCAGTCTCTTGCTCTGCCCTGCTGGGGTCCAAGCCCATCCAGAAAAGCCTTCAGAGCCTCTGCTGACAGTAGATCAGATCTTCAGCTCCACAGGGTCAGGGTCAGCTCTCTTCTTGCCAGCCTTTTGGCCAATGAGATGACCTGCTCAATGAAGTTGGAGGAGTTTCAGACACATGCTTATAGCTCGGTACTGCCCTGGCAGCATTCTGCCATCTGTCTCAGAGGAGGGCCACCCTTGGCAAAGGCCACCATGTTCATTGCTTGTCCGTACAGGGAATAGCCCAGCTGGCCTTACTGTCTCTGTCCAGCCTGACTGCTGCTTGGCAGCTCTCAGGAAGCTGCCACCACCACAACCCATTCCTCCCTCATTCCCATCAGAGGCATCTCCACCCCTCACCCAAGCCACCTCATTTTCTCCACGGCAGGAGGAAAGCCACCAAGCCAAACAGGAGAATGGTGGACCTGCTAAGGCTCCCCACTGCCTGGCTCACCTCTCCATCCCTCTTGCTCTACCTCCCATCCAGGGATCTCCATGTAAGTGTCACCTCTCTGCCACCCTTCCCTTTACCCCCACTCAAGATCTCAGCACTTCCCTGGCTTCCCTTGCTTTGCCTCCTGGGTTCCATCTCTTGTAGCCTTTGATCTGCTCTGCTTCCACCATGCCTCAGAGCTCCTCACCTTGCAGCTCAAAGGGCTGCCTGTAGGAAATTGGTAAAGGCAGAACCACATGGTGTTTGGTCAGTGCCATGGCTGAGTGGTCAGAGTCTGCCTCCAACACTGCCTGGGTGTGCAGTGCTGGGCAGCTCACCTCTGATGTGGGTGCCCTGCCTTTTTTTCATCTCTGACACCAAAGCAATGACTCAGAGCCAGCCTAGGAGTTGAACCACATGAAAATGATAAGTAGTATTCCCTTATTCTCTTCTGCACTGGTCTGCCCAGCTCCTCTTCACCTCCAGGTCTGGCTTGAAGCATCCTTCCTGGGCAGACCAGAGCAAGAAACATCTCTATTTTCAGTCAAGGCTTTAGTCTTTCTTCTTTTCTAAAATACACTCACTCACTTCTCTGCTTCCTTTTCTCAGAGGCAATGTCAGATCAGGCAGATTTGTAATATGCTCTTACTTTTCTGTAGTGACACCAGCAGGCCTGAGTATTTCATGTGGATGGTCAGTTCAGTGCTTTATTTTTAAATAGCCTTGGCATCCTGCACACCATTCCTAGCTCTGCAGAAAGGCTCAGGGAGGGTGGTTCATGGCACCAGCTTCACCTGCTGCTCTGCAAAAGCCACCCAGCACCCGGCTGAGTTGCTGACATCGAGGCTTGGCTCCACGGAGAGAGCCAGGCACAGCCCATGCAGCCCCAGGGTGCATTTATTCACTCCTGTCTGTCTGTCTCTCTTTCTACCCATGCTCATGCTACCAGGATGAGAAGCAGCCAGCGACCACGCTTCTGGTGGGACCCCGGCATGGCATCAGCCATGTCATTGACCTGAAGACCAACCTCACCACAGTGCTGTCGGAGTTCAGCAAGGTCAGCAAGATCCAGCTGTTCAGGGAGAACCAGGGGGTGGCCCGGGTGGAGACAAGCATCCTGGATGCCAAGGTAAGCAGGGGTGCCCCAGAGGCAGGCTCTGGGAAGAGGGGCTAGTGCGGAGGCTGTAGCTGGGGGTTCCATGCTCGCCTTTGAGGGGGTTCAGGACACAAGGGCATGTTGGAGCATCTGCTTGCAGATTTCTAGGGACTTAAAAGCCGCTTTCACATTGCAGTCACAGGGCGCATGGTCTGCGGCATCTCCCCTGCCTGACTGGCTCCTTGTGCTGTAGAGGCAGGGACTGACGCCGAGGGTGCATGGTGCAGGCATGGTGGTGTTCTGGCCATGATCCAAACACCTGCCCAATGATCCAAGCAGGGTCCTTGGGGTAGATGGGGATGACACAGGCCAGACAGGTAGCAGGGCCCATTGGAGGCAGGACAGTGCCTTGCCTCTCCTCAGGGCTGGAGAGGAGCAGTCCATGGCCATACCTGGGCTGGATGCAGGTACTGGAGGGGACTGGTGGGGTTTTGTGTGTTAGTAGCACTTGTGGAACTTGTCAAGCCATGCAGGATCATTGAATGAACTGGAAATGCTGGGACAGGGGGTGTCAGGCTCAGAGTGCAAGAGATCGCTGGGCATCCCTGGGCATGGGTGTCCCTGGCTCCAGTAAGCCACCCCCTGGGTATCTTGCCAGCTGCCTCCATTATCCTCCCCTTCAGCCCATGGAGCAGTCTTGCCACTCCTCGGCATACGTGCCCTCCTGGGCCCTGTGCGTTATCATCCTGCCATCCCCTGCTAGTTGTTGCTCGGTGCAGTGCTGGTTCTGGCAGTCGATCCCCATGGTGAAGCCCCACCACCCCTCCTGGGTCTCTCCTGGGTCCCAAACCCTTCAGAAGGACTGTCAGCAGTACAGTAAGAACTCTACTGACTTCTTTGGTGTCTGGTTCTGCAGCCACAAGATCCTAAGGACATCTTCCATTGGCCTTTGCTCAGGTTTTTAATAAGCTAGGACACATCTTCAGCAGACCTCCAGGCAGGTAGCCATGTGCCTGCTCCAGGGCATCCTCAGTTTCACTGCCTTCCCTTGCCCAGCTCTTCCCTGCCCTGTAGGGAAGGACAGAGCTGAGAAGCAGCGATCTGACAGATCAATGCCAAGCCTCATCCTCTCCTCTCCTCCCACCTTGAATTCAACAGGACAGAGTTAGGATTGAGTTTGGGCCAAATTAGACAGGAGCAGTGCTGTCACGTGCGTTGACATCTGGCACAGTGCAGTTGTGACTGCTTTGGGACATGGAGATGCTGCTACACAGCAAACAGGGTGTCTGCACAAGCTGTCCAAGCCTTTGGCTGTAGGTCAGTTTTGCTGCCCCCGCATTCATCCCTTTTCCCTCCGAGGCTGATGAAGTTGAGCTGCTTTGCTGGCTGCCTCCATGTTTCCTCATCTCCTGCAAGGTCCCTAAGCCTCAGCCCTCTCTGCAGCCCTTTCCTTGCGCTCTCTATTGCAGCCATAGCCTCGCAGATGTAATCATGGTGGATTTGTTTAGGATTCTCCTGCTGCCTCCTCTCCTGGTGGATTTTAGCACTTCCTCCCACCAGACTCATTAATTCCCCCAAGTCTGTTTTCCTGCTGTTGCTGTGCCTGGTCCAGTAGCTCTGCTGAACCGCAGTAACACCTCAGTAGCCTCTGCCAGAGCCATGCTCATCCTCATCCCCTCTGCCTCAGCTGTCCCCTCCAACAGCCTCATCGGTGAAGCCCTTTTTTTGCAATTGTAATTCAGTGGGTATTTGGTCAACTGTAGTATCTGTAATATTCCCTCTTCTGCATCCCACTGAGGTCAGTCGTTGCCCAGGTGAAGTCCTGGTGTCCTGCTGTGCCTGTCCCTACCCTTCAAAACCCTCAAACCTCCCACCCTGCAGCCTGTGCAGGTGGAAACCCTCCTTGCCCTCTGGCTGCCTGGGCTGTGCAGGAGCCCACTGGATCTCCTCCTTACTGCTTATGGAGCAGGTACAACCAAGGGATATAGTCTGCACCATGAATAGCCCTTCTGGTTCCTCCTGGTGCCCAAACCCCTTGGATAGGTGTGTATAAATCATGATATTCATACATTAATAATACACTGGTCACAACCCTGTGGTGGCTCGTGGCTCACTGTGAGCGCTTGGAGCACAGCATGTTCCCACTGTCACATAGTTCCATGGCCATCTCGCTGGCTGCGAGTACTGCACAGGAGATGTGCGGTGTTAGCTCTGCTCCACACGGTGCTGCTCAGCCCCGGGAGTGCATCGAGCTCACGGTGGCATGCACAAGCCTCTCTGGTGCCGCCGTCGCTTCTCTGGCATGGGAGAGGGCAGTTGTCCCCCCCCGGCACAGGCCGGTGTGCAGCTGAGACTGGCCACAGGAGTGGCAGGTGTGATGGAGGTTGAGGTGATGCTGACATCCATCCATTATAAATTAGGTGGCAATTTCCACACGGCTTCTCCACAGATCCTGCAGTGCCGCTCCCCTCAGCCATGCTCTGCAGCAGTAATTAACTCTGTAACACCACCAGCCCTTTCCTGCTGTAGGAGTAGTCTTTCTCCCGTGTCCCCTCTATCCAGCCTCCCAATTGCTGGATAAAAGGCAGCTCACATACAACTTCCCACAAGCACATACGCATGCATGGCAGCTTTACTTCCCTGAGAAATTCCAGACAGCTGCCTACAGCCACCAAAAGCCCTTCTGCCTGCCTGGAGTGGAGCGAGCATCCCATTTGTGAATCTCAGCAGGCTCAACAGCACCCTGCCAGTGCAGAGGCTGCTGTTATCCGTCTTCATTTAACCGTTATCCAAAAGGCTGGGTTTTAAAGCCAGCATGTCTGCTCCAAAATGAGGCATATGCTAATCCTACGTGGGACAGCGATAGATGAGGCAAGGCTAAGAAAAGCAGGCAAAAAGATCATTACTTCGCAATGGTAATCTGCTTTCTGCAATTATTCTATTGCACTGAACGTGTCGCTGGCTAAAGCCCTGGGCTGCAAATAAATCTGTTTCTGCTGTGAGTCGTAAACCATTAGAGGGTTGTGCTTGAAGTAGTGTCCCGACAGCTCTGGGGTCCTGCGCTGAAATCCATATCACCCCTGGATTGCAGAGCAGGTGGGGGTGTCCCCGGGGGCTGTTGCACTGTGATGCGTGGCGCTGCATTGCGGGATGCTGGTGCTGGGGCAGCTCTGGAGCATTCCCCAGGTTATGGCAGGGATGCAGGTGAGCCAGCCTGAATCGGTGGGGTGGTGGCAGCTGATTGCAGCTGCTCGCTGAGTTACTGTGGAAACAGCAGATGGGCAGTGACGGTTAAGGGATTTGTGCAGTAAGGCCATTTTGAATTTCTAAGCACCAGGTTTATTGATGCTGTGTAGTTGGTCCTAAGGGTTAAAAAAAGGGGTCAGGTCACGGAGCAGCCATGAGCCGGGAGGTCTGCACACCCCGACTGCACCAGCCGGCGCTGCCCAAACATCCTTATCCGCTGCTTGCCTGCAGCTGCAGCTCAGACGTACCTGCCAGAAGGAGCTGGGGAAGATTTTCGGGTAACAAGCAGGCTTGAGGAGATTGTAAACCATTTGCATTTAGTTCAGGAGGAAGAGCAACGGTGTTTGTCTTATAAATTATTCACTGGGTAGTTAATTGGTTTGCTTTGGAGCTTGTCCATCCTGGGCTTCAGTTTCTGTTTAAAACAGCCCGTTTCAGATACAAACCCAAGGGCTGGTGTCTCTGCTTTGCTTTCTTTAGCTGTTTGCCACTGCAAGGGTGGCAAGGCAGGGGCAAATGCTGGCAGGACCTCTCGTAGAGGAGCTGTGGAACCTCAGGACAGAGGAACAAAAGCCTCCAGGCCTCTGCTTCTGGGTCCAAGAAGGATTTTTATTCCATGCAGTGTCCAAGGGAGCTGCTGGGAGGAGAGGAGCAGGTTTTGCCTTGACAGCCACAGAGGGAGCAGGGCAGGTTTGCTTGGAAATGCTGAGAAAGTTCACAGCACATGGCTGGAGGCAGGACAGTGCTTCCCCAGCTGTGCTGCAGCGGTGCAGGCATTTTGCAGGATCGTGTGGTCATTCCCACCTGGCCAAGTCCCCTCTTTGCTGGGGCCGTCACTTCTCCGTTCTTCCTCCTGTGCTCTGGACTCGGTGGTGTTTGAGCATTGATTCTGGAGTTCATAGATTCAGTGGGGACAGGGTGGTGGCACGTGGTGTCTCCTGTGTTCTTTATGCATTAAATGCAGCTTGTCTCGGTGGTCTGGGGGCCCCGCAGGACTGCATCTCCTGGGGGCTTCCCCCTCCAGCTGCCTGGCACTGCTGGGACCAGCATTTGAAAGCACCCAATGCTTTTGAGCCAGCTCAGATTTGGGCTTCCAGACATGCATCTCCCATCCTCCCCAGCACAGGACTGCAAAGTCCTCTTCTACCTCCCAACATCCCTGGAAGGGCAGTGTCAGCATCTCCTGCCCGGCATCTGGGCAAGCCCAGCAGCACCGACGGGGTGCAGAGGAGGCAGAGGGGCTGCTGCTTGCCGTGCTCACCCAAGCTCCCCAGTGCAGATGACATGGGGAGAGCTGCTCAGCTCCATGGGCATGCCAGAGCCAGCTCCTGACATCCAGCCAGGTGGCTCCACCAGGTCGCACCCTTGGTTGTGTGGCTTTGCAGCTCCTGCAGAAGCAAAGGTTTTGTTCTTACTGAAATGCCTTTTCAAATGGAGCATTTCTCCTTTTTGATTTACACAGCTACACACCACTGGGCTTTTTATTATTAACAGTCTTGACACTGGCAAAAAAGCTGCTGAAGCCCTCTGAATGGGAATGAAAGAGGAACGCACAGGGGGCAGCTGGATTGCCTGAGCCCGGACAAGCGTCTGCAATGTAACGGAGGAGCTGTCCCAGGCTGCACCTAGTCCCTGCACGGGGCTCTGGGGCAGGAGCCCACGGTTGCTGGCTGCTCGCCAAGCGCAATTCAGTCAAAGGCAGTGGGGTAATTGACTTCATGTCTTCCAGCAGGGCCTGCAGCCAGCCAGTGCTTTAGCTGAGATCAAGACTCGACAGAGGAAAACAA